CTAACTTCTCCTATTTTCAGTCTGGGAAAGGCTATGAAAAGAGGCACGTTTAAAGTTTTCACCTCTTTCCTTAAACCCTTGCAGAGCGGTAAATTTGGAGGGGCCTCCTCAGACGCACAGGAGAGTCAGTCTCGGGGTATCCAGGGTGCTGACGACGCAGCGGAACATGAAAACATGAAGGCCATGTTGAAAACTGGTCTGACGGATGCAGAGAGCAGCACATCCACAGTGCCCGGCCTAAGGAATCGTACCAGAGGAGGCAGCCTCAGAGGTCGGTCAGAAAGCAGTGGTACTTTATAACTTGTGAATGTGTGCTTTTATGAAACCATCAATGGCACAGGCACGAGAATTATAAGCTTTACCCCGTCGTGCAATCTCATCAGGTCTGAGTTACGATGAATGATTTTTTGAACATCATCAAATGCTTATCGTCCAATTATTTCAAACATTTCCCCTTTTGAACAACTTCTGGTCACATAACTTGTTGAGTAAAGAAGAAAAATCAAGCTAAATGTTCAAAATTGTGTAATATTGACATCATGATTAATCTACTATTTTTTTTTTTTTTCTAAGCCTGTGTTTATTTTCTAAGGTATCCAGTCTATGGTTTGTGTTCAAATCCCTAAAAGGTCAAAGAAAAAAAGTTAAATGTGCAAAAATAAATAACTAATATAACATTGTGCTGAACAGTAACATGCATGTCACTCCCACAAGATCTAGGTTTGTTACCATAAAAAAATCAATTAATATACAGAACAATCCAATCTGCTGCAATTTGCTTTGTTTCTGCACTGGATTCACAAAGCTCATTGCATTAAGCAGGTGGGATCAGTTTACATCTATTTTTACTTTAAGTCACAATTATTCCCTCCTCGGCCATAAAACATTCAGTAAGAGAAATTATTGACCAAAATATCAGTCAAACCTCACACATAGACAGAATGATTTTCATATTTTTTTTAATAACCCTGAGCTACTTTTAAGCAAATCCATCAGCCCACCAAGACATGTTTGCCTCTTTTTCATTTGCTACTTTAGTAGGGAGTATTTTTGATACATATCTGAAGAAATAGGTCAAGACAGACTTTAAGAAAGCTGCGTTTGCTTCTATTGTAGCTTACTCAAAAACACGCAAATTTAGAAAATCTTTCCACAAGTGCACGCAAAAGACCTCATTCAAATCTGGTCAAACTGCCTCAGTTCAGAGAGACACAGTTTAAAGAGGTTATTTACGGAGCAGATCTTCCTTTTCATCGAGACGCAAACTTAGCTTTTCCCCCTATTTAGCTTCCGCAAATGTCATTGTGACTACGTGAGTTAAAGATTTAGCCATGTCATTCATGGAACTTGCAATCTCCTAACTCATTTGCTCCAGCATAGCATGTTAGTTTTCATTTGGTTCGGCTGCGTTTGTTCCAGGACGTCTTGCTCCGTGGTGTTCTGCCAGCGATGACCCTGTGAACTGCACGGACGACACAGCCGACGAGATCATGGAGAGGATCGTTCGATCCGCCACTCAGGGGCCCGGCCCGAGAACGCTACCTCGCGAAAGGAGACGATCCCGACTTAACAGGAAATCATGTGGGTGCTGTGTGCGCAAATATGATCAAAAACAAGAAATGCCTCTGCTACCTTCGTTTTCATTATTGTTGGTTTTCCCTCTCGACCACACAGTAAGGAGGACGCTGAAGGGCGGCTTGACGACAGAAGAGGCAAATGCTCTCGGCTTGTCTGGTGGCTCGGAGCTGCAGGTGTGAGGAAGACCACAATCGCGCTGGACATTAAGACGACTGTCGGCCCTTTCACTGCCCCCCTAACTTCTGATCCAGACTGGAAACCTCCGCCCCCCTCCCCGTCCCCACCTCTCTAATTTGGCACTCAACCCACAGCGAGCTGGGATGAGCTGTTTGGTTTACGCACTGTGATACAAGCGAGAGGGGAAAACCGCTGCGAACAATCTTAATCTTAAACCTGTGGGCAGGAAAAACGGCTTTGCATTCAAACCACTAAGCTTGGCTTTTGCTGGATGATCACAGAACGGCTGCTTTCGCAAGGCTTTGTCACGGTCATCCTTCAAACGCGACTCGCGTCCGAGTGCCCACAGAGGTTTTTTTCTTTGTTTTGCGTGCGCCTAAGGCTGTCAGTGCACGAGCTCCAATCCCTGCAGCCTTCCCTGGATCCAAAGGGTTGAATGTGGCAGCAGAACCGGAACCCTTAAAATGACCTTTTTTGCCGGGGGGTTGAACAACGTATAGCTGAGCTAAATGACATTTCATCTATTGAATAGATGGCTTAGTGAAGATGGTTATTTTGTTGTTTACTACTGGGGTAATTTTGTGTTTCATTTTGGTCCGAAAAGGTGCTTAAAAAAAAAAAAAAGGAACATTTGCACTGGATGTAAACGTTGGCTATCGTTGGAATGTGAGATGCTTGACACTGATGAAACACTCTGACATCTTGACTCTGACAATATGCTCGTCAATGTGCCAGCTATTCAGCGGCACAGTTTTTAACCTGACTGAAGTGGACAGATTCAAGGCAGAGGCGCATTAGTTTACAGGTGAAGAAGGAATTTATTAGTGTAGGTATTTTTTTTTTTTTTTTTTTTTTTTTTGTCTTTAAGTACACTGCTGTGAAAATCTGGAGTCATCCCTTTTTTTGTATATTTTGTCTTCAAAAATCCTGACTACGGATGCCAAAAAGGCTGTCTCATTGTGTATTCCCTGAATTCCCTAGATTCTCACCTTAGCTATG